ATCATACGATACGGATACAGTGATACAAAAAAATTTAAAAAAGAAATTCCCAAAGGAGAAAGCGCCTGATTAATGATATTCATCGCTGCATCAGAAGATGATAAGTCACCATGTTTCACAATATACTTTTTTTCAATCATGGGTCCAGGTGGTGCTTCGAAGCTTGGCTCCCCATCTTCTTGCGTTGTATTAAACCATGTAACAAGATTGCGAAGGCGGATCTGGAAGACAAATACACCAGACGGGAGCGACTTCTTGTTGTTGGGTATACTCTCTTCCTCTTTCCTACATTATGCTCGTACTTTGTGATGTCAGACATCGTTGAACAATCAAAAGACAACAAAGGCAATAGGCAATGCTAATGGAGTGTAGGGTACGTAGAGAATTTTGAGAAGCCCAAGAAGATGATAATGATTATTTTCATGCCTCGTTTGTGTATATATATTCTGGTTTAGAAGGTTGAGATTGTGAAGGATTAGGAAAGTTTAGGGGGTTTAGGATTGTATGTTAGGTTTAAGGGTATATGGTTTGTTTTAAAAGTTATTCTCGTAACGACCTCGTACTTTCGCTCAACTTTGTTTTTGTTTTTCATTTTTTGATAACCTAGCATATAAACAAATTTAAATAGTATTATTTTTTTAGAAAACGTGAATTATATGTGTTATTAAATTAAATAATAAATTAGGTGTCACATAATTAATTGATATTTTAATTATTGTTAAATTTAATTATTAATTTATTCTATAAGTTTTGGAGTACCTAATATATGTATTATAATTTAACATATACAGAATTTTATTCCTTCAAATTGATATATATAGTTGTATGTAATTATACTATTAATAAATGAGTTTAAAAGAATTTTGAAATCCTACTAAAGAGTTCAAAATAAATTAAAAGTTAAATAAATGTAAAAAAAATAAAATTAGATGAACGTATATAGGTAAATACAATTGACTTTATTATAATAAGGATAAAATAGAAAATCTAAAGTAGTATATAGAAATATTGATATAGATATAGATGAATGTTATTGGATGTAAAGATAAAAAAATGGATACATATTTTATCTATTTTTATTTTAATTAAAAAATTAATTTTTGTTAGGTCTTATTATTAATATTTTTATAATATATATTTTATTTTTAATATATTATGTTATTTCAATAATCGTATCTTAGTCCTATATTTTATCATATCTTTATGTTCATATCGTATGAGATAAGATAACTACGTCTGTACCCGTGCATCCTAACCGCTAACATGTGTGACATAGGTCCAAAAACTATAGCGAGGAGGATGGGTTTTTGTTTTTCCCATGGGAAGTGGTGGCGGGGAGGGTCAACTCTAATTAGCCACTTGATTTTTTTGGTACATAATTGGCTTATTGACTTTGATTTGAACTTTTGTTATGGTATCAAAAAAATATTTTGGTGCCATACTATGAAATTATCATTGGTCATTGATATTGATTTGAAATATATATAGATCACTAAAACGATAAAACAATAAAAACTTTATACGTGTCAACACAATTTTTTGTTGAATGAGAAAAAGAGGTAGTGTTAAAGTCAAAATTTACATACAATAAGTTGTTCATTTTGTATATCCTGCCCATCTATTCTTTTTTTTATGTCACATCATTTGGTATCTGAAAATCACAACAGACTCTGACTAATTTAGATTCAAGTTAGGCTGGACTATAAGGACGGTAAAATTTTTTCTACCGAACACAGCTGTATTTCTAAGTCTCAAAAAAAAGACTTTAGTTAAGCTAGAATTACCTCTCACCAGCTCTACGCGCTCGATAGTGGCCTCAATTCTTTTCATTTATCTTAAAAAGCACCCCCCATATTATAAAGAAATATTTCAAAATTCTTAACAAACAAAATGCTTAAAAGATCAAGAACTCCTTTTTGATTCCTCATGAACCCCACCCAACAATCTAAGCATGAACATCGAGAAAAGGGTAATCAGTGTACCCAACAACAGGATCCTGAGTGTAGAAAGTGCTCCTATCATACCTATTCAACCCTGCATCAAGCTCAAACCGCCGCGGCAAATCGGGGTTGGCCNAGATTTTTTACAGAGATGTAGTTCCATCTGGTCGGTCCCGATTTGTCCGAATATAAGGTTTTGACTATCCGGACAAGCATAATTCGTCCAGAGGCATATGGGAGTTCTAACACACGTGACTTACGATCTTTTTTGGTCTCAAATTGTGTCATAAGCAACACTAGTCTCTCTAGTATAAATATAACCTATTTTGTGAAGAGGGGATCCCCTATTTAGCAGCTTTCACGTTAATGAGTGTCGTTTGGGATTATGTTTATTCGCTGATAGAATGCGGACAATGGAGAAAGGATTAGTGATTTGGGGTTTACATTTCTTAATGTTTCTATGGTGAGTGGCCCTTATAAGTGGTATTGTGGGAAAATGTAGGAAATGGCTAAAGGTCTAATTCTCAGATTGCGAGCATGCTGGATCTTAGAATGGGAAAGGATCTAGTTACTTATTAGTTTTTGGATTTCTTGTTGCTTGGAGGCTGAATTCTAAAATTTCTCATTTATCTGACTATGTCAAAACTAACTCTACCATTCATCTTTGATCAGTTTGTTTTGATCCTCATTGTTCATTGGGACAAAGTCGAAAAAAGATAGAGGTTTATATTTTAAAACTTTACTTTTTAACTACTTGGACATGTTAAAAAAATTTGCATCTTTTGAAATCATTTTTTTTTTGCTTTTTTTTTTTTTTTGGTTCTAGACTTTTAGTCCCACTTTGGTTGCTCAGAAAAACCAATGGAACAAATAGAATGGATTTTAATGCACTACGATGAAGATAAGTGACAAAATTCTACAAAACTTGTTTTGCATGAAACTCACCAAGGCAATCAAGCTAATTATACTCCGATAATTTATCTGAACTTCAGCTTAATTGGGAAAGAGATTACTTAGTTTGGTTTTGATTGTTCAATGCTTGCTTCTTTTTCGTGAACTGGTTGCTCAATGCTTACAGAGTTATGAAATACGGATACAGATACAAAATATGGGTATCATACGATACGGATACAGTGATACAAAAAAATTTTGAAAAAAAAATTCCCAAAGGAGAAAGCGCCTGATTAATGATATTCATCGCTGCATCAGAAGATGATAAGTCACCATGTTTCACAATATACTTTTTTTCAATCATGGGTCCAGGTGGTCCTTCGAAGCTTGGCTCCCCATCTTCTTGCGTTGTATTAAACCATGTAACAAGATTGCGAAGGCGGATCTGGAAGACAAATACACCAGACGGGAGCGACTTCTTGTTGTTGGGTATACTCTCTTCCTCTTTCCTACATTATGCTCGTACTTTGTGATGTCAGACATCGTTGAACAATCAAAAGACAACAAAGGCAATAGGCAATGCTAATGGAGTGTAGGGTACGTAGAGAATTTTGAGAAGCCCAAGAAGATGATAATGATTATTTTCATGCCTCGTTTGTGTATATATATTCTGGTTTAGAAGGTTGAGATTGTGAAGGATTAGGAAAGTTTAGGGGGTTTAGGATTGTATGTTAGGTTTAAGGGTATATGGTTTGTTTTAAAAGTTATTCTCGTAACGACCTCGTACTTTCGCTCAACTTTGTTTTTGTTTTTCATTTTTTGATAACCTAGCATATAAACAAATTTAAATAGTATTATTTTTTTAGAAAACGTGAATTATATGTGTTATTAAATTAAATAATAAATTAGGTGTCACATAATTAATTGATATTTTAATTATTGTTAAATTTAATTATTAATTTATTCTATAAGTTTTGGAGTACCTAATATATGTATTATAATTTAACATATACAGAATTTTATTCCTTCAAATTGATATATATAGTTGTATGTAATTATACTATTAATAAATGAGTTTAAAAGAATTTTGAAATCCTACTAAAGAGTTCAAAATAAATTAAAAGTTAAATAAATGTAAAAAAAATAAAATTAGATGAACGTATATAGGTAAATACAATTGACTTTATTATAATAAGGATAAAATAGAAAATCTAAAGTAGTATATAGAAATATTGATATAGATATAGATGAATGTTATTGGATGTAAAGATAAAAAAATGGATACATATTTTATCTATTTTTATTTTAATTAAAAAATTAATTTTTGTTAGGTCTTATTATTAATATTTTTATAATATATATTTTATTTTTAATATATTATGTTATTTCAATAATCGTATCTTAGTCCTATATTTTATCATATCTTTATGTTCATATCGTATGAGATAAGATAACTACGTCTGTACCCGTGCATCCTAACCGCTAACATGTGTGACATAGGTCCAAAAACTATAGCGAGGAGGATGGGTTTTTGTTTTTCCCATGGGAAGTGGTGGCGGGGAGGGTCAACTCTAATTAGCCACTTGATTTTTTTGGTACATAATTGGCTTATTGACTTTGATTTGAACTTTTGTTATGGTATCAAAAAAATATTTTGGTGCCATACTATGAAATTATCATTGGTCATTGATATTGATTTGAAATATATATAGATCACTAAAACGATAAAACAATAAAAACTTTATACGTGTCAACACAATTTTTTGTTGAATGAGAAAAAGAGGTAGTGTTAAAGTCAAAATTTACATACAATAAGTTGTTCATTTTGTATATCCTGCCCATCTATTCTTTTTTTTATGTCACATCATTTGGTATCTGAAAATCACAACAGACTCTGACTAATTTAGATTCAAGTTAGGCTGGACTATAAGGACGGTAAAATTTTTTCTACCGAACACAGCTGTATTTCTAAGTCTCAAAAAAAAGACTTTAGTTAAGCTAGAATTACCTCTCACCAGCTCTACGCGCTCGATAGTGGCCTCAATTCTTTTCATTTATCTTAAAAAGCACCCCCCATATTATAAAGAAATATTTCAAAATTCTTAACAAACAAAATGCTTAAAAGATCAAGAACTCCTTTTTGATTCCTCATGAACCCCACCCAACAATCTAAGCATGAACATCGAGAAAAGGGTAATCAGTGTACCCAACAACAGGATCCTGAGTGTAGAAAGTGCTCCTATCATACCTATTCAACCCTGCATCAAGCTCAAACCGCCGCGGCAAATCGGGGTTGGCCAAGAACAACCGCCCAAACGCCACCAAGTCCGCCTCATCCTCCGCCACAGCTTCGTTCCCTCCATTCCTATCATACCCTCCGGACGCCACGAAAGTAGCCTTAAAAGCTTTCCTCATAGGAAGAAGACTCTGAGGACTTTCAGACTCCGACCACCTCGGTCCAATCACATGGAGATAGAGAATGTTGTATTTATTGAGTGCATTGGCCATGTAGAGGCCTAGAGCTTCAGGGTTTGAATCAGAAGACTCCATGAAATCTGTGAATGGAGATAATCTTATTCCGACTCTCTGAGATCCGATCTCTTTTGCGACTGCTTCGACGATTTCTAGGGCGAATCGACACCGGTTTTCTAGGGTTCCTCCATATTGATCCTTTCTATCGTTTACTTGATCTTTCATGAACTGTTCGATTAAGTAGCCATTTGCTCCATGGATCTCAACTCCATCAAAGCCTGTAATGTACAAGACTATGTAGTTTTCAAGTAGAGTGATTGAAGCTTAGAACAAAAACTTATGAAAACTGCTAGGCCTTGTGAAATTTCTGAGCATTGGTATCAAGAATACATTGGAACTTCCACTAGGTCCTAATAAGGTCAAAAAAACACTGTTTTTGTTTTCCTTTGGGGTTAATTTTATTGGAAATCCTCAAAGGATAGAAAATAGTTGAACTACTCGGGTTCGGCTCAAGCTCTGCTCGAGTTTTTAACAAATCGAGTTTGATCAATATTTTAAACTCGTTTAAAAAAATAAGCTCGTCAGACTCGAGCTCAAATTCAACTCGATTAACAACCTTATTTACGAGAGCCATAGTTGAAAAGTTCGAGATACTAACTAAAAATATTTCAACAAGAACTACCCAAACGGGTTATGTTGAACAATGGTAAACATCACAAATGACTAATGTCGTAATTGATGCAAGTTTTTGTAGGGTGTCTCAAACTTCTAAAGGAAGGCTTGATTTACGTACATACTTGAATTAAATATAGTTGTGAATTCAACTTAACTCAATAAAAATCTCGATCAGATACAATAAAAGATGTGTGATACTAACCTGCTTCGATTGCGTTACGTGCAGCAAGCTTGAAATCGTTGATTATGTGAGGTATTTCATCGATTCCGAGCCGACGAGGAGGTGACCAATCTTCACCATATAAGCCAGGAGTGACTCCCTTATCAGTACATGAGATCGGAGCTTGACCATTTGGCTGAAAGCCTAAAGAACAAAATTATCAGTGTGTGAGTTATAGGATTTTTATGTTAAATGGTTTGTAACTTGTAACCCGCACCTAATATGAATTTTGCAACTGGTGTTGGGTGTGTATTTCTTTGTATTTGTTCATTAAAAAAAATCAATTTCTAAACTATTATGATTTTATAATTGTATTCCTATGTTACGGTACTTTTCAACTTATTTTTTTGATTTATTGCGATTTACATACATTAGAGTGTGATTTGAGGTTACGCTTTTTATTGCAGCCAGGAACTTAAAACACATTTTAAATTTTATTTTTAAAGAAAAAAGAAAGAATAAATTACACTTTGACTCCCTTAATTATGAAAGTAATTTTGTTTTATCCTCTAAACTATTAAAATTTTCACATTATCTCCTCAATTACTTGAATTTTTGACAAAAAATTTCAACATGTTGGAGAAAAATGACATAAATTTTTAATTGGGGGATGTGAAACTAAGCTTATAGTTTAGAGTGCAATATGAAAAATATAATAGTTGAGAGAGCAGTGTAAAAAATTTCATAATTGAGGGAGTTAAATTATAATTTTCCCATAAAAAAACATCAAAATGCACTTCTATATGAAAATAGTAAGTTTAAACAACACTTTTATGGAAATCACACCACAGATTGTGAAATAACCAATAGGAAATAAATTTTTAGAATTATAATAATTTGATTATAAAAAAACTCGACCTAAAACACACAGCCTTCAGTTTTGGCCATGGATTGCCTCAATGAAATCATATATCCCATTGGTAATTCCTATATGTAAACGAGCCGCGTCGAGTTAAGTGGGGGGTTGCTTAACATTTGACCCAACCACGCACGATTTATAGTTCTCACTATAAAAATTCAACCATTAGAAAGTCATTCGTTATAAATTCAGATGAGACCCACTTTTAAAATAAAAAAAATGGGTTAATTGTACTGAATGTTTTCAAAGTATTAAAATTATCTCATTTTAATCACTAATGTTTTAATTGCATCATTTTGGTCCCTAACGTATTGAATATATTTATATATGGTCCATCAAGCAAACAATATACAAATTGTTAACGATTTTTTATCATAAATTTATCATGTGATACTTAAATATGGACAAAAAAAATTAACCACCATGGATAACTCTCGACCAAATTTTTACTCAAATTTTAGTTAAATATCCACCTAAATTACACAATTTTGATCATGAGTTATCGAAATGTGATCAAAAATTATTCATATTACACATTTTTTTATCAAGACCTACCCAAATTTTGTTTAAGAGCTATCAAAATTATTTTTTGTCCATATTTAAGTATTATGTGACAAGTTTATGATAAAAAATCATTAAAAATCTAGACGTTGTCTACTTGAAAGATCATATAGAAACATATTCAATATTTCAAGAACCAATAATGATACAATTAAAATATTTAAGGATCAAAATGAGACAAATCTCATACTTTGAAGAGCTCCAATACAATNCAATTGGCTTATTGACTTTGATTTGAATTTTTGTTATGGTATCAAAAAAATATTTTGGTGCCATACTATAAAATTATCATTGGTCATTGATATTGATTTGACATATATATAGATCACTAAAACGATAAAACAATAAAAATTTTATACGTGTCAACACAATTTTTTGTTGAATGAGAAAAAGAGGTAGTGTTAAAGTCAAAATTTACATACAATAAGTTGTTCATTTTGTATATCCTGCCCATCTATTCTTTTTTTTATGTCACATCATTTGGTATCTGAAAATCACAACAGACTCTGACTAATTTAGATTCAAGTTAGGCTGGACTATAAGGACGGTAAAATTTTTTCTACCGAACACAGCTGTATTTCTAAGTCTCAAAAAAAAGACTTTAGTTAAGCTAGAATTACCTCTCACCAGCTCTACGCGCTCGATAGTGGCCTCAATTCTTTTCATTTATCTTAAAAAGCACCCCCCATATTATAAAGAAATATTTCAAAATTCTTAACAAACAAAATGCTTAAAAGATCAAGAACTCCTTTTTGATTCCTCATGAACCCCACCCAACAATCTAAGCATGAACATCGAGAAAAGGGTAATCAGTGTACCCAACAACAGGATCCTGAGTGTAGAAAGTGCTCCTATCATACCTATTCCACCCTGCATCAAGCTCAAACCGCCGCGGCAAATCGGGGTTGGCCAAGAACAACCGCCCAAACGCCACCAAGTCCGCCTCATCCTCCGCCACAGCTTCGTTCCCTCCATTCCTATCATACCCTCCGGACGCCACGAAAGTAGCCTTAAAAGCTTTCCTCATAGGAAGAAGACTCTGAGGACTTTCAGACTCCGACCACCTCGGTCCAATCACATGGAGATAGAGAATGTTGTATTTATTGAGTGCATTGGCCATGTAGAGGCCTAGAGCTTCAGGGTTTGAATCAGAAGACTCCATGAAATCTGTGAATGGAGATAATCTTATTCCGACTCTCTGAGATCCGATCTCTTTTGCGACTGCTTCGACGATTTCTAGGGCGAATCGACACCGGTTTTCTAGGGTTCCTCCATATTGATCCTTTCTATCGTTTACTTGATCTTTCATGAACTGTTCGATTAAGTAGCCATTTGCTCCATGGATCTCAACTCCATCAAAGCCTGTAATGTACAAGACTATGTAGTTTTCAAGTAGAGTGATTGAAGCTTAGAACAAAAACTTGTGAAAACTGCTAGGCCTTGTGAAATTTCTGAGCATTGGTATCAAGAATACATTGGAACTTCCACTAGGTCCTAATAAGGTCAAAAAAACACTGTTTTTGTTTTCCTTTGGGGTTAATTTTATTGGAAATCCTCAAAGGATAGAAAATAGTTGAACTACTCGGGTTCGGCTCAAGCTCTGCTCGAGTTTTTAACAAATCGAGTTTGATCAATATTTTAAACTCGTTTAAAAAAATAAGCTCGTCAGACTCGAGCTCAAATTCAACTCGATTAACAACCTTATTTACGAGAGCCATAGTTGAAAAGTTCGAGATACTNCTATCCGGACAAGCATAATTCGTCCAGAGGCATATGGGAGTTCTAACACACGTGACTTACGATCTTTTTTGGTCTCAAATTGTGTCATAAGCAACACTAGTCTCTCTAGTATAAATATAACCTATTTTGTGAAGAGGGGATCCCCTATTTAGCAGCTTTCACGTTAATGAGTGTCGTTTGGGATTATGTTTATTCGCTGATAGAATGCGGACAATGGAGAAAGGATTAGTGATTTGGGGTTTACATTTCTTAATGTTTCTATGGTGAGTGGCCCTTATAAGTGGTATTGTGGGAAAATGTAGGAAATGGCTAAAGGTCTAATTCTCAGATTGCGAGCATGCTGGATCTTAGAATGGGAAAGGATCTAGTTACTTATTAGTTTTTGGATTTCTTGTTGCTTGGAGGCTGAATTCTAAAATTTCTCATTTATCTGACTATGTCAAAACTAACTCTACCATTCATCTTTGATCAGTTTGTTTTGATCCTCATTGTTCATTGGGACAAAGTCGAAAAAAGATAGAGGTTTATATTTTAAAACTTTACTTTTTAACTACTTGGACATGTTAAAAAAATTTGCATCTTTTGAAATCATTTTTTTTTTGCTTTTTTTTTTTTTTTGGTTCTAGACTTTTAGTCCCACTTTGGTTGCTCAGAAAAACCAATGGAACAAATAGAATGGATTTTAATGCACTACGATGAAGATAAGTGACAAAATTCTACAAAACTTGTTTTGCATGAAACTCACCAAGGCAATCAAGCTAATTATACTCCGATAATTTATCTGAACTTCAGCTTAATTGGGAAAGAGATTACTTAGTTTGGTTTTGATTGTTCAATGCTTGCTTCTTTTTCGTGAACTGGTTGCTCAATGCTTACAGAGTTATGAAGTACGGATACGAATACAAAATATGGGTATCATACGATACGGATACAGTGATACAAAAAAATTTAAAAAAGAAATTCCCAAAGGAGAAAGCGCCTGATTAATGATATTCATCGCTGCATCAGAAGATGATAAGTCACCATGTTTCACAATATACTTTTTTTCAATCATGGGTCCAGGTGGTGCTTCGAAGCTTGGCTCCCCATCTTCTTGCGTTGTATTAAACCATGTAACAAGATTGCGAAGGCGGATCTGGAAGACAAATACACCAGACGGGAGCGACTTCTTGTTGTTGGGTATACTCTCTTCCTCTTTCCTACATTATGCTCGTACTTTGTGATGTCAGACATCGTTGAACAATCAAAAGACAACAAAGGCAATAGGCAATGCTAATGGAGTGTAGGGTACGTAGAGAATTTTGAGAAGCCCAAGAAGATGATAATGATTATTTTCATGCCTCGTTTGTGTATATATATTCTGGTTTAGAAGGTTGAGATTGTGAAGGATTAGGAAAGTTTAGGGGGTTTAGGATTGTATGTTAGGTTTAAGGGTATATGGTTTGTTTTAAAAGTTATTCTCGTAACGACCTCGTACTTTCGCTCAACTTTGTTTTTGTTTTTCATTTTTTGATAACCTAGCATATAAACAAATTTAAATAGTATTATTTTTTTAGAAAACGTGAATTATATGTGTTATTAAATTAAATAATAAATTAGGTGTCACATAATTAATTGATATTTTAATTATTGTTAAATTTAATTATTAATTTATTCTATAAGTTTTGGAGTACCTAATATATGTATTATAATTTAACATATACAGAATTTTATTCCTTCAAATTGATATATATAGTTGTATGTAATTATACTATTAATAAATGAGTTTAAAAGAATTTTGAAATCCTACTAAAGAGTTCAAAATAAATTAAAAGTTAAATAAATGTAAAAAAAATAAAATTAGATGAACGTATATAGGTAAATACAATTGACTTTATTATAATAAGGATAAAATAGAAAATCTAAAGTAGTATATAGAAATATTGATATAGATATAGATGAATGTTATTGGATGTAAAGATAAAAAAATGGATACATATTTTATCTATTTTTATTTTAATTAAAAAATTAATTTTTGTTAGGTCTTATTATTAATATTTTTATAATATATATTTTATTTTTAATATATTATGTTATTTCAATAATCGTATCTTAGTCCTATATTTTATCATATCTTTATGTTCATATCGTATGAGATAAGATAACTACGTCTGTACCCGTGCATCCTAACCGCTAACATGTGTGACATAGGTCCAAAAACTATAGCGAGGAGGATGGGTTTTTGTTTTTCCCATGGGAAGTGGTGGCGGGGAGGGTCAACTCTAATTAGCCACTTGATTTTTTTGGTACATAATTGGCTTATTGACTTTGATTTGAACTTTTGTTATGGTATCAAAAAAATATTTTGGTGCCATACTATGAAATTATCATTGGTCATTGATATTGATTTGAAATATATATAGATCACTAAAACGATAAAACAATAAAAACTTTATACGTGTCAACACAATTTTTTGTTGAATGAGAAAAAGAGGTAGTGTTAAAGTCAAAATTTACATACAATAAGTTGTTCATTTTGTATATCCTGCCCATCTATTCTTTTTTTTATGTCACATGATTTGGTATCTGAAAATCACAACAGACTCTGACTAATTTAGATTCAAGTTAGGCTGGACTATAAGGACGGTAAAATTTTTTCTACCGAACACAGCTGTATTTCTAAGTCTCAAAAAAAAGACTTTAGTTAAGCTAGAATTACCTCTCACCAGCTCTACGCGCTCGATAGTGGCCTCAATTCTTTTCATTTATCTTAAAAAGCACCCCCCATATTATAAAGAAATATTTCAAAATTCTTAACAAACAAAATGCTTAAAAGATCAAGAACTCCTTTTTGATTCCTCATGAACCCCACCCAACAATCTAAGCATGAACATCGAGAAAAGGGTAATCAGTGTACCCAACAACAGGATCCTGAGTGTAGAAAGTGCTCCTATCATACCTATTCAACCCTGCATCAAGCTCAAACCGCCGCGGCAAATCGGGGTTGGCCAAGAACAACCGCCCAAACGCCACCAAGTCCGCCTCATCCTCCGCCACAGCTTCGTTCCCTCCATTCCTATCATACCCTCCGGACGCCACGAAAGTAGCCTTAAAAGCTTTCCTCATAGGAAGAAGACTCTGAGGACTTTCAGACTCCGACCACCTCGGTCCAATCACATGGAGATAGAGAATGTTGTATTTATTGAGTGCATTGGCCATGTAGAGGCCTAGAGCTTCAGGGTTTGAATCAGAAGACTCCATGAAATCTGTGAATGGAGATAATCTTATTCCGACTCTCTGAGATCCGATCTCTTTTGCGACTGCTTCGACGATTTCTAGGGCGAATCGACACCGGTTTTCTAGGGTTCCTCCATATTGATCCTTTCTATCGTTTACTTGATCTTTCATGAACTGTTCGATTAAGTAGCCATTTGCTCCATGGATCTCAACTCCATCAAAGCCTGTAATGTACAAGACTATGTAGTTTTCAAGTAGAGTGATTGAAGCTTAGAACAAAAACTTATGAAAACTGCTAGGCCTTGTGAAATTTCTGAGCATTGGTATCAAGAATACATTGGAACTTCCACTAGGTCCTAATAAGGTCAAAAAAACACTGTTTTTGTTTTCCTTTGGGGTTAATTTTATTGGAAATCCTCAAAGGATAGAAAATAGTTGAACTACTCGGGTTCGGCTCAAGCTCTGCTCGAGTTTTTAACAAATCGAGTTTGATCAATATTTTAAACTCGTTTAAAAAAATAAGCTCGTCAGACTCGAGCTCAAATTCAACTCGATTAACAACCTTATTTACGAGAGCCATAGTTGAAAAGTTCGAGATACTAACTAAAAATATTTCAACAAGAACTACCCAAACGGGTTATGTTGAACAATGGTAAGCATCACAAATGACTAATGTCGTAATTGATGCAAGTTTTTGTAGGGTGTCTCAAACTTCTAAAGGAAGGCTTGTTTTACGTACATACTTGAATTAAATATAGTTGTGAATTCAACTTAACTCAATAAAAATCTCGATCAGATACAATAAAAGATGTGTGATACTAACCTGCTTCGATTGCGTTACGTGCAGCAAGCTTGAAATCGTTGATTATGTGAGGTATTTCATCGATTCCGAGCCGACGAGGAGGTGACCAATCTTCACCATATAAGCCAGGAGTGACTCCCTTATCAGTACATGAGATCGGAGCTTGACCATTTGGCTGAAAGCCTAAAGAACAAAATTATCAGTGTGTGAGTTATAGGATTTTTATGTTAAATGGTTTGTAACTTGTAACCCGCACCTAATATGAATTTTGCAACTGGTGTTGGGTGTGTATTTCTTTGTATTTGTTCATTAAAAAAAATCAATTTCTAAACTATTATGATTTTATAATTGTATTCCTATGTTACGGTACTTTTCAACTTATTTTTTTGATTTATTGCGATTTACATACATTAGAGTGTGATTTGAGGTTACGCTTTTTATTGCAGCCAGGAACTTAAAACACATTTTAAATTTTATTTTTAAAGAAAAAAGAAAGAATAAATTACACTTTGACTCCCTTAATTATGAAAGTAATTTTGTTTTATCCTCTAAACTATTAAAATTTTCACATTATCTCCTCAATTACTTGAATTTTTGACAAAAAATTTCAACATGTTGGAGAAAAATGACATAAATTTTTAATTGGGGGATGTGAAACTAAGCTTATAGTTTAGAGTGCAATATGAAAAATATAATAGTTGAGAGAGCAGTGTAAAAAATTTCATAATTGAGGGAGTTAAATTATAATTTTCCCATAAAAAAACATCAAAATGCACTTCTATATGAAAATAGTAAGTTTAAACAACACTTTTATGGAAATCACACCACAGATTGTGAAATAACCAATAGGAAATAAATTTTTAGAATTATAATAATTTGATTATAAAAAAACTCGACCTAAAACACACAGCCTTCAGTTTTGGCCATGGATTGCCTCAATGAAATCATATATCCCATTGGTAATTCCTATATGTAAACGAGCCGCGTCGAGTTAAGTGGGGGGTTGCTTAACATTTGACCCAACCACGCACGATTTATAGTTCTCACTATAAAAATTCAACCATTGGAAAGTCATTCGTTATAAATTCAGATGAGACCCACTTTTAAAATAAAAAAAATGGGTTAATTGTACTGAATGTTTTCAAAGTATTAAAATTATCTCATTTTAATCACTAATGTTTTAATTGCATCATTTTGGTCCCTAACGTATTGAATATATTTATATATGGTCCATCAAGCAAACAATATACAAATTGTTAACGATTTTTTATCATAAATTTATCATGTGATACTTAAATATGGACAAAAAAAATTAACCACCATGGATAACTCTCGACCAAATTTTTACTCAAATTTTAGTTAAATATCCACCTAAATTACACAATTTTGATCATGAGTTATCGAAATGTGATCAAAAATTATTCATATTACACATTTTTTTATCAAGACCTACCCAAATTTTGTTTAAGAGCTATCAAAATTATTTTTTGTCCATATTTAAGTATTATGTGACAAGTTTATGATAAAAAATCATTAAAAATCTAGACGTTGTCTACTTGAAAGATCATATAGAAACATATTCAATATTTCAAGAACCAATAATGATACAATTAAAATATTTAAGGATCAAAATGAGACAAATCTCATACTTTGAAGAGCTCCAATACAATTAACCATAATATATATATATATATATATAGGGGAATCTAAGTCAACCCCATCCCATTGGGGTGCCCACCAATAATTGAAGCGGAGACTATACGGTCAAGCAAGCATTATAAGGTTTTTTAAGGAAAAATCATCAACCATTGTGTCATTGCATATGTAATATTGTTAAGCCTAGTCAACTGAAATATCTTATCGAGGTTAGCAGGTGGCCTAATAGCCATCGTCTCATTGTTAAATCTTTCGAACATGACACAAAATTAGAATATTTTTGTCTTTTTTAAGCCACCCGCCTCATAAACGAATGGACTCGACACGATATGATTAATAAACAAATAGGATATGAGTGATATCAATCAAAAAAATATACGATACGACTTGCGTATGTATCAGTTATATACGATTTATACACGACATAAATCCGATACGATTCATTAGACACGAATTAATAAATGAATCGGAAATTAGTGAAATATTTTTTGACACGAATCTACAAAGACCCGACATAAACCTATTTCATCTGACACAATTAACAGACCTACTAGTAAGTGTTGATAAAAAAAAAAGTGAAATATCTTATAAATATAATGAGCAAAAAAAATTCAAGTATCTTACTTTCTGGGGAAAAAATTAATAAATTTCCTAGAGCGAATCTGGTGAATTAACAGGAACTATGATTCTTTTGTTCTTATTAGACTACATATANATCTCGATCAGATACAATAAAAGATGTGTGATACTAACCTGCTTCGATTGCGTTACGTGCAGCAAGCTTGAAATCGTTGATTATGTGAGGTATTTCATCGATTCCGAGCCGACGAGGAGGTGACCAATCTTCACCATATAAGCCAGGAGTGACTCCCTTATCAGTACATGAGATCGGAGCTTGACCATTTGGCTGAAAGCCTAAAGAACAAAATTATCAGTGTGTGAGTTATAGGATTTTTATGTTAAATGGTTTGTAACTTGTAACCCGCACCTAATATGAATTTTGCAACTGGTGTTGGGTGTGTATTTCTTTGTATTTGTTCATTAAAAAAAATCAATTTCTAAACTATTATGATTTTATAATTGTATTCCTATGTTACGGTACTTTTCAACTTATTTTTTTGATTTATTGCGATTTACATACATTAGAGTGTGATTTGAGGTTACGCTTTTTANATGTAATAGATAGCTCAAGTGGTAACAGAGACGAACTGTAAACTCAAAAGTTTTAAGTTTGAATTTTATCAACCCCTTAGAGTTAAGACATGAGAGATTTATCTTTCATAAATTTTTTAACCCTGACATAGACGGTTTGCCTTTAACCAGATTAGAGAAAGAATTATTCGAAATGACGAAAATTGACCAAAAAACATCTTATTGTTGAAAAAAAAAACAACTATTTCGAAAAGAAATGCAACATCTGAATGGTTAGTGAACCACACTATTCATCATATAAAAAAGTAAGCACAATAGGCACTTTGTATTACTTTTACTTGATTGCAACACATCCGATTTAAACTCCTAATCTTTTAGATGTCGTATAAACGCTTTATCAATCGTGCTATATTATCTTCTTCTTTTTTTTTTTTTGGTTCAATAGTGAGGGGGGGGGGGATGTTCAAATTTATTTAGGAGCATATCCATTTATCCCCTCTTCGATGCGATTAAAGATTAAAGTATTCACGAGAGATAAATCTCTCGTAGTCTAGTTCTAAAGAATTATTAAGATTCAAACTTAAAACGTCTGAATCTACAATTCATCTTTATTACCGCTTCAACTTCCCTTTAAATTGTCCGCTTTGTCATACACACTGGGACATTGAAAAAAAAAACATAAAAATTGAAGCATGGAGTGGGTGANTAGCTTAATTGGGAAAGAGATTACTTAGTTTGGTTTTGATTGTTCAACGCTTGCTTCTTTTTCGTGAACTGGTTGCTCAATGCTTACAGAGTTATGAAATACGGATACAGATACAAAATATGGGTATCATACGATACGGATACAGTGATACAAAAAAATTTTGAAAAAAAAATTCCCAAAGGAGAAAGCGCCTGATTAATGATATTCATCGCTGCATCAGAAGATGATAAGTCACCATGTTTCACAATATACTTTTTTTCAATCATGGGTCCAGGTGGTCCTTCGAAGCTTGGCTCCCCATCTTCTTGCGTTGTATTAAACCATGTAACAAGATTGCGAAGGCGGATCTGGAAGACAAATACACCAGACGGNAGAGAATGAAAAATATAATCCGAAATGTCGTACAAACTTAGAAATTAGTAAAGCTTATAGTACCAAAAGGTTCGATAGAGTAGGAAAGTAATCATTTGATTGGGTGTGTATAATGACTCAATTAGGTCAAGTCGAGACTCGAGGTGTCGTAAAATTCGAGGATCTATCCTAAAATTTAAGATTGATCTTGACTTTTTTGAGTGATCCAATTGGGTCGTAACTTTCGGTAGTTAGATAACAACAATATGGGTTTACATATGTAAGTCCAACTTTTTCTGAAAAAACTTCAACAGTATGGAGATGGTGTACGAAAGGAAGAGAAATTATTACCCTTGTGCAGTATCAGACACCCCAGTTGCTTCAGTAATGAGAAGACCACCCTCAGTTGTTCGTTGAGAATANAGCCACCGTCTCATTGTTAAATCTTACGAATGCGACACAAAATTAGAATGTTTTTGTCTTTTTTAAGCCACCCGTCTCGTAAACGAATGGACTCGACACGATATGATTAATAAACAAATAGGATATGAGTGATATCAATCAAAAAAATACACGATACGACTTGCGTATATATCAGTTATACACAATTTATACACGACATAAATCTGATATGGTACGATTCATTAGACACAAATTAATAAATTAATCGGAAATTAATGAAATATTTTTTGACACGAATCTACAAAGACCCGACATAAACCTACTTCATCTGACACAATTAACAGACATACTAGTAAGTGTTCATAAAAAAAAAGTGAAATATCTTATAAATATAATGAGCAAAAAAAATTCAAGTATCTTACTTTCTGGGGAAAAAATAAATAAATTTCCTAGATCGAATCTGGTGAATTAACAGGAACTATGATTCTTTTGTTCTTATTAGACTACATATATAATAAGAAAACTAATGACAATACCAACTAAAGTATGTGGATCCGAGTTGCTCATGTTTAGTGCAGCATAGAATAATGTTATAATGCAACAATCATGTAATTGAGCTTTTAATAAATTATATAATACCTTCCTTGACCTTGTACCAATAAAATATTTATGTAGAAATTTTTTGAAATTGGTATGGGTGTGGAGGGGCCAAGTGGAGGATAAGGGTGGGATGTAAATTTCATGCACCACAAAATCCATACTCTTACCTAATCAAAAACATTTATTTCTAAAGTGTAATAGATAGCTCAAGTGGTAACAGAGATGAATTGTAAACTCAAAAGTCTTAAGTTTAAATCTTATCAACCTCTTAGAGCTAAGACATGAGAGATTTATCTTTCATAAATTTTCTAACCCCGACATAGACGGTTTGCCTTTAATTAGATTAGAGAAAGAATTATTCGAAATGACGAAAATTGACCTAAAAACATCTGATTGTTGAAAAAAAAAACAACTATTTCGAAAAGAAATGCAACATCTGAATGGTTAGTCAACCACACTATTCATCATATAAAAAATTAAGCACAATAGGCACTTTGTATTACTTTTACTTGATTGCAACACATCCGATTTAAACTCCTAATCTTTTAGATGTCGTATAAACGCTTTACCAATCGTGCTATATTATCTTCTTCTTCTTTTTTTTTTGGTTCAATAGTGAGGGGGGGGGGGATGTTCAAATTTATTTAGGAGCATATCCATTTATCCCCTCTTCGATGCGATTAAAGATTAAAGTATTCACGAGAGATAAATCTCTCGTAGTCTAGTTCTAAAGAATTATTAAGATTCAAACTTAAAACGTCTGAATCTACAATTCATCTTTATTACCGCTTCAACTTCCCTTTAAATTGTCCGCTTTGTCATACACACTGGGACATTGAAAAAAAAAACATAAAAATTGAAGCATGGAGTGGGTGAAGGTACCATAGGTGGAGACACGGCCTACATGCCAAATTTGGCAAAAGAATATGCCACCCTTGTTATGAACAGAATCAACAATTGGTTTCCATGCTTCCACTTGCTCTTTTGTCCAAATTCCAGGGGTTTCTGGGTACCTTTTATATCAAATTATTTGTTTAGTAAATAAATTGCTGAAATAACTTCTTCCTAATAAAAAAAAAAAAGAAAAATATTAGGTTTACTTCACAATGAAAAACTATAGGATTCTCAACTCTTTTTTGGTAGGAGAATGAAAAATATAATCCGAAATGTCGGACAAACTTAGAAATTAATAAAGATAATAATACCAAAAAGTTCGATAGAGTAGGAAAGTAATCATTTGATTGGGTGTGTATAATGACTCAATTAGGTCAAGTCGAGACTCGAGATGTCGTAAAATTCGAGGATCAATCCTAAAATTTAAGATTGATCTTGACTTTTTTGAGTGATCCAATTGGGTCGTAACTTTCGGTAGTTAGATAACAAAAATATGGGTTTACATATGTAAGTCCAACTTTTTCTAAAAAAACTTCGACAGTATGGAGATGGTGTACGAAAGGAAGAGAAATTATTACCCTTGTGCAGTATCAGACACCCCAGTTGCTTCAGTAATGAGAAGACCACCCTCAGTTGTTCGTTGAGAATAGTACAAAACTGCATGTGGCTGTGGAATATTTTTGTAAGATCTGTTTCTCGTTAATGGTGCTAAAACTATCCTGTAACCAAAAATCCAAAAACAAAATAGTTATAATTATAAACAAAAAGGTTCAAAATTTTAAGAATGAGGAAAAAAAATAGTAGATGAAGTGGGTTCAACAAAGAAAAAGCAAGAAAAACAGATGCGCTAATGCACAACGACTTTCGCGCTACTCATTGCTTATTGCTTTTGAACCCATGTCTCTCTCGCAGTCAAAACTCTCATTTTCGGCACTATCAATCGGGGTTAGGAGACTCGGTTTTGAGGAGAGAAGGGGAGAGGAGGAGAATCATTGGAATTTGACAACTAAAATTTCCTTTCAGCTTGTGTTGTTTGGAAATTCAACACACATATACACACACAAACACAAAGGACATCCATGGGTAAAGGTTCTTGCTCCAAGAGATGTTTCTATCCATTTCTATGGAACAAAGGGGAAGCTCACAGAGGGCTTTTTCTCCCTAGTAAAAAGGGCGACAACGAAACTTTTATACAAAACTTCTACTAAGAATTTCGGCTTGACCTGAGTTAACCCACGCGGGCGACCCCCCAGTAGCCTTTACCAGGAGCTTCGTCNCTTGTACCAATAAAATATTTATGTAGAAATTTTTTGAAATTGGTATGGGTGTGGAGGGGCCAAGTGGAGGATAAGGGTGGGATGTAAATTTCATGCACCACAAAATCCATACTCTTACCTAATCAAAAACATTTATTTCTAAAGTGTAATAGATAGCTCAAGTGGTAACAGAGACGAACTGTAAACTCAAAAGTTTTAAGTTTGAATTTTATCAACCCCTTAGAGTTAAGACATGAGAGATTTATCTTTCATAAATTTTTTAACCCTGACATAGACGGTTTGCCTTTAACCAGATTAGAGAAAGAATTATTCGAAATGACGAAAATTGACCAAAAAACATCTTATTGTTGAAAAAAAAAACAACTATTTCGAAAAGAAATGCAACATCTGAATGGTTAGTGAACCACACTATTCATCATATAAAAAAGTAAGCACAATAGGCACTTTGTATTACTTTTACTTGATTGCAACACATCCGATTTAAACTCCTAATCTTTTAGATGTCGTATAAACGCTTTATCAATCGTGCTATATTATCTTCTTCTTTTTTTTTTTTTGGTTCAATAGTGAGGGGGGGGGGGATGTTCAAATTTATTTAGGAGCATATCCATTTATCCCCTCTTCGATGCGATTAAAGATTAAAGTATTCACGAGAGATAAATCTCTCGTAGTCTAGTTCTAAAGAATTATTAAGATTCAAACTTAAAACGTCTGAATCTACAATTCATCTTTATTACCGCTTCAACTTCCCTTTAAATTGTCCGCTTTGTCATACACACTGGGACATTGAAAAAAAAAACATAAAAATTGAAGCATGGAGTGGGTGAAGGTACCATAGGTGGAGACACGGCCTACATGCCAAATTTGGCAAAAGAATATGCCACCCTTGTTATGAACAGAATCAACAATTGGTTTCCATGCTTCCACTTGCTCTTTTGTCCAAATTCCAGGGGTTTCTGGGTACCTTTTATATCAAATTATTTGTTTAGTAAATAAATTGCTGAAATAACTTCTTCCTAATAAAAAAAAAAAAGAAAAATATTAGGTTTACTTCACAATGAAAAACTATAGGATTCTCAACTCTTTTTTGGTAGGAGAATGAAAAATATAATCCGAAATGTCGGACAAACTTAGAAATTAATAAAGATAATAATACCAAAAAGTTCGATAGAGTAGGAAAGTAATCATTTGATTGGGTGTGTATAATGACTCAATTAGGTCAAGTCGAGACTCGAGATGTCGTAAAATTCGAGGATCAATCCTAAAATTTAAGATTGATCTTGACTTTTTTGAGTGATCCAATTGGGTCGTAACTTTCGGTAGTTAGATAACAAAAATATGGGTTTACATATGTAAGTCCAACTTTTTCTAAAAAAACTTCGACAGTATGGAGATGGTGTACGAAAGGAAGAGAAATTATTACCCTTGTGCAGTATCAGACACCCCAGTTGCTTCAGTAATGAGAAGACCACCCTCAGTTGTTCGTTGAGAATAGTACAAAACTGCATGTGGCTGTGGAATATTTTTGTAAGATCTGTTTCTCGTTAATGGTGCTAAAACTATCCTGTAACCAAAAATCCAAAAACAAAATAGTTATAATTATAAACAAAAAGGTTCAAAATTTTAAGAATGAGGAAAAAAAATAGTAGATGAAGTGGGTTCAACAAAGAAAAAGCAAGAAAAACAGATGCGCTAATGCACAACGACTTTCGCGCTACTCATTGCTTATTGCTTTTGAACCCATGTCTCTCTCGCAGTCAAAACTCTCATTTTCGGCACTATCAATCGGGGTTAGGAGACTCGGTTTTGAGGAGAGAAGGGGAGAGGAGGAGAATCATTGGAATTTGACAACTAAAATTTCCTTTCAGCTTGTGTTGTTTGGAAATTCAACACACATATACACACACAAACACAAAGGACATCCATGGGTAAAGGTTCTTGCTCCAAGAGATGTTTCTATCCATTTCTATGGAACAAAGGGGAAGCTCACAGAGGGCTTTTTCTCCCTAGTAAAAAGGGCGACAACGAAACTTTTATACAAAACTTCTACTAAGAATTTCGGCTTGACCTGAGTTAACCCACGCGGGCGACCCCCCAGTAGCCTTTACCAGGAGCTTCGTCCCACATCGACTGAGAGTCGTCTCCCCCCTCGCATATAAGCCCTTGCACTCAAAGGAGGGCTTATATGTGAGGGGGGGAGACGACTCTCAGTCGATGTGGGACGAAGCTCCTGCGGGCACTGAGGGGTAAAGGCTACTGGGGGGTCGCCCGCGTGGGTTAACCCAGGTCAAGCCGAAATCCTTAGTAGAGGGTTCTACCCCTTACAGAAAGGCGCATTTTTGTAAGGGGTAGAAATCGCTACGGATCTCATCCCTCTACTTGACAGAAAGGCGCCTGTTTGTAAGGGGTAGAAATCGCTACGGATCTCATCCCTTTACTTGAAGGATTCCGGCTGACCTAGGTCAAGCCGAAATCCTTAGTAGAGGGTTCTACCCCTTACAGAAAGGCGCCTTTTTGTAAGGGGTAGAAATCGCTACGGATCTCATCCCTTTACTTGAAGGATTCCGGCTGACCTGACGGCACCGAGCCCCAGTAGCCTTTACCTCTCTTCGCCAATAGGACCCTTTCCTAAGGCAATCCCACATCGGAAGAGAGTCGTCTTCCCCCCTCCATATAAATGAACACTTCCTATGGAGGAGGTACCCACTAGCGACCTGATCAGGTGCCTAGTAGGTACCTCCTCCATAGGAAGTGTTCACTTATATGGCAGGGGGGAAGACGACTCTCTTCCGATGTGGGATTGCCTTAGGAAAGGGTCCTATTGGCGAAGAGAGGTAAAGGCTACTGGGGCTCGGTGCCGCCAGGTCAGCCGGAATCCTTCAAATAGAGGGATGAGATCCGTAGCGATTTCTACCCCTTACAAAAACATCTCCTTGCTACACGCATAAATAAAATACAAAAACACTCGCAATCACACACACAAGTTGTTAGAAGAGATTTATGTATGTGGAAGCTTACAAACCTGTGAGAGAGGTTGAATTTCCCCATCTTGTATGGAGTAAGGAGTGGAATGGTTTTGGGAGTGTTGGATGCCATTCTACTTGGTACTTACAGACTGTATTCTCTGCTTTTCTTCTCAAGTGGCACTTCACCATTACCATTTTATATACACAACCACAAGGGGCGGCTCAAAAGTGTGGTTGAAAAAATTTGGCTTTAAGCTCCATTTTTTTAAGAAAGTCCCAACTTTTTAAATATTATAAATAATTCATGTAAAAAAAATTAAATTCATAAATACTTTAAATTCTTCAAAAATGTCTTATAAAAATATAAGTCCAAATAAATAAATAAAAATTTTAACGCCTCACTTCAAGGAAGGCTCTATAATTTATAAGTGTGCCAAAAAATTTCAAATAAAAAATTTAAATTCATATCCAAAAAAAAGATTTCAACTTAAGTAGATTTCATGGATATTCCACATTATTATCTAATTTTTTTTAGCTAGTCGATCAATATGGTCGAGTAAAATCGAGTAGAGTAGGAAATTTCAGGTAATCGAAATTTGAACACACTCTGCTTGAAAAATCACATAAATATATATTCAATATTTTAAAAATTAAAATAATTCAATTAAAATATTAAATATCAAAATAAAATAAATTTTATACTTGAAGAAGTTCGGTATAATTAACCCTACTTTCAATAATACGGCAATCAAACTAGTGTTGTTTTTAACAAACCCTCCTACTATTGGGGACAACTTTTTCCATTCCCATTTAATAAGGGCACCGACACCATTAACTATTCAAATCATGCGTCATTGCTTACGAATCCAATGTGAATTTAGTGATTAAAAATAGGATAAATTACGCTGACAATCTTTAAACTCTGTTTAGCGAGGGGGTGGAAGGATAAAATATACGAGGGATACACTTTTTATCTTTTAATGATATAAAGTAGGAAGGATGCGTTTTCCTTCATTTGTGTTTGATTGGATAAATAAAAAATAAAAATGACAAATTTTTATTTTTTTATACTGGTTAAGATTAAGGGTGACAATCGAGTCTTGTCTTCGTGTTGACNACTTCACAATGAAAAACTATAGGATTCTCAACTCTTTTTTGGTAGGAGAATGAAAAATATAATCCGAAATGTCGGACAAACTTAGAAATTAATAAAGATAATAATACCAAAAAGTTCGATAGAGTAGGAAAGTAATCATTTGATTGGGTGTGTATAATGACTCAATTAGGTCAAGTCGAGACTCGAGATGTCGTAAAATTCGAGGATCAATCCTAAAATTTAAGATTGATCTTGACTTTTTTGAGTGATCCAATTGGGTCGTAACTTTCGGTAGTTAGATAACAAAAATATGGGTTTACATATGTAAGTCCAACTTTTTCTAAAAAAACTTCGACAGTATGGAGATGGTGTACGAAAGGAAGAGAAATTATTACCCTTGTGCAGTATCAGACACCCCAGTTGCTTCAGTAATGAGAAGACCACCCTCAGTTGTTCGTTGAGAATAGTACAAAACTGCATGTGGCTGTGGAATATTTTTGTAAGATCTGTTTCTCGTTAATGGTGCTAAAACTATCCTGTAACCAAAAATCCAAAAACAAAATAGTTATAATTATAAACAAAAAGGTTCAAAATTTTAAGAATGAGGAAAAAAAATAGTAGATGAAGTGGGTTCAACAAAGAAAAAGCAAGAAAAACAGATGCGCTAATGCACAGCGACTTTCGCGCTACTCATTGCTTATTGCTTTTGAACCCATGTCTCTCTCGCAGTCAAAACTCTCATTTTCGGCACTATCAATCGGGGTTAGGAGACTCGGTTTTGAGGAGAGAAGGGGAGAGGAGGAGAATCATTGGAATTTGACAACTAAAATTTCCTTTCAGCTTGTGTTGTTTGGAAATTCAACACACATATACACACACAAACACAAAGGACATCCATGGGTAAAGGTTCTTGCTCCAAGAGATGTTTCTATCCATTTCTATGGAACAAAGGGGAAGCTCACAGAGGGCTTTTTCTCCCTAGTAAAAAGGGCGACAACGAAACTTTTATACAAAACTTCTACTAAGAATTTCGGCTTGACCTGAGTTAACCCACGCGGGCGACCCCCCAGTAGCCTTTACCAGGAGCTTCGTCCCACATCGACTGAGAGTCGTCTCCCCCCTCGCATATAAGCCCTTGCACTCAAAGGAGGGCTTATATGTGAGGGGGGGAGACGACTCTCAGTCGATGTGGGACGAAGCTCCTGCGGGCACTGAGGGGTAAAGGCTACTGGGGGGTCGCCCGCGTGGGTTAACCCAGGTCAAGCCGAAATCCTTCATAGAGGGTTCTACCCCTTACAGAAAGGCGCATTTTTGTAAGGGGTAGAAATCGCTACGGATCTCATCCCTCTACTTGACAGAAAGGCGCCTGTTTGTAAGGGGTAGAAATCGCTACGGATCTCATCCCTTTACTTGAAGGATTCCGGCTGACCTAGGTCAAGCCGAAATCCTTAGTAGAGGGTTCTACCCCTTACAGAAAGGCGCCTTTTTGTAAGGGGTAGAAATCGCTACGGATCTCATCCCTCTACTTGACAGAAAGGCGCCTGTTTGTAAGGGGTAGAAATCGCTACGGATCTCATCCCTTTACTTGAAGGATTCCGGCTGACCTAGGTCAAGCCGAAATCCTTAGTAGAGGGTTCTACCCCTTACAGAAAGGCGCCTTTTTGTAAGGGGTAGAAATCGCTACGGATCTCATCCCTCTACTTGACAGAAAGGCGCCTGTTTGTAAGGGGTAGAAATCGCTACGGATCTCATCCCTTTACTTGAAGGATTCCGGCTGACCTAGGTCAAGCCGAAATCCTTAGTAGAGGGTTCTACCCCTTACAGAAAGGCGCCTTTTTGTAAGGGGTAGAAATCGCTACGGATCTCATCCCTCTACTTGACAGAAAGGCGCCTGTTTGTAAGGGGTAGAAATCGCTACGGATCTCATCCCTTTACTTGAAGGATTCCGGCTGACCTAGGTCAAGCCGAAATCCTTAGTAGAGGGTTCTACCCCTTACAGAAAGGCGCCTTTTTGTAAGGGGTAGAAATCGCTACGGATCTCATCCCTCTACTTGACANTGAGAGAGGTTGAATTTCCCCATCTTGTATGGAGTAAGGAGTGGAATGGTTTTGGGAGTGTTGGATGCCATTCTACTTGGTACTTACAGACTGTATTCTCTGCTTTTCTTCTCAAGTGGCACTTCACCATTACCATTTTATATACACAACCACAAGGGGCGGCTCAAAAGTGTGGTTGAAAAAATTTGGCTTTAAGCTCCATTTTTTTAAGAAAGTCCCAACTTTTTAAATATTATAAATAATTCATGTAAAAAAAATTAAATTCATAAATACTTTAAATTCTTCAAAAATGTCTTATAAAAATATAAGTCCAAATAAATAAATAAAAATTTTAACGCCTCACTTCAAGGAAGGCTCTATAATTTATAAGTGTGCCAAAAAATTTCAAATAAAAAATTTAAATTCATATCCAAAAAAAAAGATTTCAACTTAAGTAGATTTCATGGATATTCCACATTATTATCTAATTTTTTTTAGCTAGTCGATCAATATGGTCGAGTAAAATCGAGTAGAGTAGGAAATTTCAGGTAATCGAAATTTGAACACACTCTGCTTGAAAAATCACATAAATATATATTCAATATTTTAAAAATTAAAATAATTCAATTAAAATATTAAATATCAAAATAAAATAAATTTTATACTTGAAGAAGTTCGGTATAATTAACCCTACTTTCAATAATACGGCAATCAAACTAGTGTTGTTTTTAACAAACCCTCCTACTATTGGGGACAACTTTTTCCATTCCCATTTAATAAGGGCACCGACACCATTAACTATTCAAATCATGCGTCATTGCTTACGAATCCAATGTGAATTTAGTGATTAAAAATAGGATAAATTACGCTGACAATCTTTAAACTCTGTTTAGCGAGGGGGTGGAAGGATAAAATATACGAGGGATACACTTTTTATCTTTTAATGATATAAAGTAGGAAGGATGCGTTTTCCTTCATTTGTGTTTGATTGGATAAATAAAAAATAAAAATGACAAATTTTTATTTTTTTATACTGGTTAAGATTAAGGGTGACAATCGAGTCTTGTCTTCGTGTTGACTCATTACGGGTTTGTGTGGAATATTAATTAAACTTAACTTAACTCATTTAACTAATTGTATCGTGTCGAGTTACGAGTTGACCTGTTTATTTTCGTATCGAGTTCGAATTGTGTTATCGTGCTGAGTCGAAAATTTTCACCCTTAGTTAAGATAGAAAAAATATTTTTTTTAATTTAAAATTTTATTTTTATTTTTTTATTTTATTTTTAATTTTATTTGTTAATTTTTTTAATATATATACATTAATTTCATATAAAAATACAATGGTAAATAAAAATACAATGGTAAAATATATGTATATATATATAAAGATATATAGACAAATAAGATACATCTCAAACAAATAATTAACTTTTCATCCACTTTCCTTCCGATTTTGGATGGATTAATTTTAGTGAGCTGGAAGGAAAGTTAATTCATCCATTTTTTCATCCTTCCTACTTTTCTTTTTTATCAAGCATGATGTTTTATTTATCCTTCCAATTTTTCATCTTCCCATTTTTACATCGTACCAAACGAAATACTATAGTTTCTGACACTTTCACTATGGTATCTTCATTTATTATATTTGTAATTATTTTTATCATATTTTTGAATCATTTTATTACTGTTTTAATACTCTAAAAAATGATAAAAATAATTATCATAATAATAATAAAAATATCTATAAATATGATAAAAACACCCTTAAATATAGTAAAAATATCCACAAATGTGATAAATTTTTTTGTACCAACGAAAAGTGATAAAAATAATTACCATGAATATAATAAAAACACTCATAAAAATAGTAAATTATCCACAAAAGTGATAAATTTTTTAATTATAAAATGACCTACAAAAATTATAAAAAACCACCATTAAAATGGTAAAAATTAGAGATATAGTACTTAAATTATTACTTCAGTACCGTAATA